TATATATATATATATATATATACATATATATATATAATTTTCTTAGTAGGGAAATTAAAACTATCGATGATATATCATTATTTTTACTTGTCCATCATTTTCAATTTTTCTTCTCGGGGTTTTGCACCTCCGTAAATGGAACTATTTTTAGTTGATTCTGCAAGTGCATTGACAGGGTCCTTAATAGTTCTTGGTTTAAGTTCCAAACGTTTTCTCCCAGTAGTGTCTAAAAGCAAAAATAATATTCATGTTTAGTAATAATAAAAATTCATTGTGTTTATGTACAGGATATATTACAATCTGTTCTGTTTTTTGATGATTACAAATTTCTTGACAAATTTTAATTCCATCTTTCCTTTACATAATTATTCGAAATATCATTTATCGCACTTTTCAATTTTTAAAATTATATATTTCTCGTAATTAAGAATCTTAAATTAAAATTCTATTAACTGCGAAATTAGTTAAGGGAAATGATTTTGTTAATCATTTGCTACACTAGAGTTTAATTCATACGAAAAAACTTTTGTGACAATTTTTTTGCCCATACATACTTATTACATATACTTACGTCGTACATATTCAAACGTGTGTGTATCAAACGATAATTAGAAAACCGCTGAAAGATGTGTCGAAAAAGTACTTGTATTCATTCATATCACATAACCATCTAAACATACAGGTCCTCAGAACGTACATGACATCAACGAGACGTTAGCGCGTTAACAAGTTAACTTATTTTAGCAATTCTGAATAGGAATTTTGCTTTAATCGAGCGTTTATTATCGATTTTCCCTAACAGAGCATTATTATTACCGCGTTTAGAATGCAATATTTCTTCATTTGTTAATATCATTGTGTATATATACCTTCTAAGTACGGGTCGCAATATGTAAAAACTACGAGTGTGAATCTGAAGGACAGTTTCTTTGCGCGCGCGCGTGTGTGCGTGGATACATGCGTGACATTGGATATTGACTTCAAGCGAGAAAAAATTGTCTTTTTCTTTTGCGGTAAAAATTTCAAGATGATTGATTGCACCAATCTTATGCTACAATTCTATGTGTATCGTATGACGTATCACGATCATTTGATTGCTTCGTAATTTACGACTTTATAATTTTACGATTTATTCATATATTTGTTTAGAATTGTAGCACTATTAGCTATAAGTTCTACGAATCTTACGAGAACAAGTCTTACCATTCTTATGATTCTTAGTTTAGAATTGCAGCACAAATCTTAATTGGAATCGAAAATTGATGTCAATATTACATACAAAAAAATGTCATTACATTACAATTTTTATTTCCGATATATATATATATATATATATATATATATATATATATATATTAAAAACTTACTGATTTACTTAAAAAAAACTTGATTTGATGAAAACTTGAAATAATCTATTGGTGACGCTGCATCAACGCGAATATATTATTCACATTTGATATGTTATGAATCGATCATTTTTTTATATACTTGAAGTTGTAGGCGCTACTATGCTGCTTAATTTCTACAGTCATTCTAGTCATTCTGTGTATAAAAGTAGGATAAGATCATCGAAAAGTGAAAGTGACTTTTCAAGATATTTTACTTTTTATCTCGATACTTTCAGTATTTAAAACATCTCATAATCATTTTTCGACCTCATCTTTATATTTTTGTACGTATGAAAAGGAAAAAATTAATAATAATTATTATTGATGTATAAATATTTGCAAAATGTAACAAATTTTCTTAAAGATTTTTTTTTACAGCAATCGCGATTTCACCAGTATGTATGTATATTTAAAATCTACACACCTGGTAGAGGATCTTTAAAAGGTTCGTCCTGAAAAGGCTTTCGATCCGACCCACTGCCACGAAGAGAAGGTCTATTAGCGTACGACCTACTGGATGCACTTCGTGACCAATCACGACTTCCACTGCCAAGGTCTTCATTAAATTGGCCATAATTGCCTCTATTACCCCTAGAGTCCCATCCACTACCTTGTCTACTACTTCCATGTGAGCTCCTATCACTATATCCTGTATGTGATAGAGAAGTAAGCGTTAATATAATTTCTTGATATCTTTTTCACCTATATAAAATTAACCAAAATATCATGTATTATTTTAATATGTAAATATTGCGTTTTGCAGAAATAGAAATATAACTAATTAATGCACTTATATCTATTATTATTTACGTTATGCATTGCATAACGCTTACTCGAATACATAGATTTGCTACCGAAATCATCGCCATATCCACTACGGCCAGAATCTCTTCCTTTAAAGCCTCCGCCACCACTGCCACCACCACCACCACCACGACCCCTCCTGTCAAAGCCACCACTTCGATCATTTCTTTTTCCTTCAGCTACATCAATCTTAATCAAGCTTTTATCTACTTCTACTGCCCCATCCATTTCCAACGCTGCCTCTAAGTCAGCCAAGTCTTCAAACTCGACATAACAAAACCCTTTAAATCTAAAAAATAATGTACAAAATCAAAATTTAGGACAATTTATGTCATTAATTATTATTTATTGTTATTTTTCTTTCTCTCTCTCTCTCTCTCTCTCTCTCTCTCTCTCTCTCTCTCTCTCCCTGTACAGTTAATACATGTTATTGTATACATACTTGTCAGTATCTCTATCTTTAACCAATCTGATAACTTTAACATTGAGCTTTTCAAAAATTTTGTCAACATCGCCTTGTACAATTCCATTTGGCAAATTTCCCACATATGCTGTATACGGAGGTTCTGTTGGCAAAGGTTTTCTGCTACGATATCCACCACTAGAATAATCTCTATAACATATAAAATATTTATTTTTATTGGTGCTATGTACAAATAATACAATTTAGTTTTATAGCTTCAATAGCTTTGATTTATTCAACAAATACAATAATTTAATAATTTTTGAAAAACAGATCTAATTTCATAGAAATTTGAAATATATACATATATATATATATATAAAACAATGTATAGCAATTATCGTTCAGTGGTTACACAAATGTTATCCATGTCTTCCAAATATCAAGCCAATAATTGTATACTTGTTATGGATATTTACGTTGCTGTATATTAGCTCATTCTAAACTCAGAAAGTTTGAGAGAAAATAGAATTACACAAATGCTTATAACTCTCGATATAACTTATTAGAGAAAATCTATTACTACCAATATATAAGAGCAACTTAATAAGAAATGAAAGTTTATTGATAGATTTATTGATAGATTACTCTCGGCTACTACATAAAAACTGATCACAATGCCAATCGTATATTCTGCGCGTGATATTTGGTTATTATTATATAGGGAATAGTTTTTTTGAAATGCACCACACGAAAGTTACAACGTATTAAATTTAAAGATCTCTTTATTGTTCCATATTATCGCGAATTCTCTAACGTGACAATTAAAGTTTAATCAGACGGAATAAAAGCTGCGAGTCGAAATCCGTAATGTCCGCAAGGTGTTGAGCTGCACTAGAGTTACTTATAATTCACTTAACCTTAAAGTCAAAAAATGATTGTAAAGAACATTTTCTATTCAATAGTACGACGCACCGCTTATGTATTGTAACAGTACTGTTTCCGAAGCTTCCCAATCGTTTAACATTATTGAAAATACAACGAATACTTGCCTTGAATCGTCGTAACCACCTCGACCAGCCATATTGGATGCACAGAACTGACCGGGACCGCGTGGGTCGGACGAGTCACTGTATGCGTAATATGGTAATTTTACTATATGTTATTGGTGAAGGACTGAAAATGTGACATACTATGCAAATTAACAGTTAAATTTAAGTATAATATGACAATATTACAGAATATAGTTACGAAAGTTCGACAACGTATGTTGTTACAATAGGAGTACTTTCTTTTAATGCAGTTCGGAACGCACAGTAATGGATGCTTTTCAATACTTACTTGACGTACGCAGGATTCAGGTCTGTTCTGCAATATGTTAGATGTCGGAACGCAGCCGATAAGATCCAATGAGAGAATTTCTTTCCGAAGGACAAGGTATCTTCATTGGACTATCGGCTGTGTTGCAACATCCGAACATCTCGACGTACATTCGCGCGGACAAAAATGTTGACGCATTCCGTAGGCATTTCGAATTAATCACATTATTTTTTAATATTCATGATTGCTACTTTGGCGCATCCTTGTCGGTTTGCAGAATAATCAGCAGTCACATTTGGGGCACATGTTCCGCTCACAACCCTTAAATCGCCCTTCAAGTCGTTCCATTAGACGACCGCGGCGTTCATCACGTACTATTATAACTAGCTTTATAACTAGCCTCCTGACAAGCATAATGGCTCTTGCCCAATAATGGCGCAGCAACGCGCGGTGGAAGCCAGTAAACTTCTAGTCTTAACGAAAAACGGCATGTTGATTGGTTAGAACTTCCTTCGCGCGTTGTCGCGTCCTGTGGGCAGAAGCCCATTTAATTTTTATTAGCTGCGTTCAGAGAAAACGGTTTTGTAAAATTTATGAATCTGGTGATTTCGTGTATGCTCCTAAATTTAATAAAAATTAAGAGTATACACCAATGAAATTTACGAATTTTACAACAGTGCTTTCTCTGTAGCCATTGTAGATACCGCATTCACCTGCAGAGGGCGCACCAGGGAAAAAGTCTCGAGATATCCATATGATACGGTCTCTATTAGTCCTATCTCTGGCATTAATGTATAAGTTTATGTGTAGATTCGTAAGTTAATATTATACCGATCGTTGCATTTCTATTTGTGCGTAATATATCTGTTGTGATAGAGGCATGTGGCTGATGGAGTACGATAGTTTTGCTGAACTTTGTCGGGGATATTTACCATATTATTTATTAATATTTTTGCCAATCTTCATCATCATTTCGCCGGTTAATCCTGTGACTGCCTCCCACGAGTTTCCCGTGTATCGTATGCATCAGTATGACTTGCATGGGGTTCCGCATGGTAAGATATGTATTTTTGTTTGTGATGATTTCATAGGATATTGTGATGTGTTATTTTTCACCAACCAATATATACAAATTTATAAAAACAACAAATTGTTTTTTTTTTTTCTAAATATCTTCATTAATCTTACTTATTTCCTTGCCGTGTTCTGTATTAATATAAGTTTGTAATATTTTTTCCATTTGCTGAAAATTTACAATAAGTATGTAATATTTTTGAAGAGAAAAGAAACAGAAAATAATATAAATTACTTATTAATATATACAGGGAAAATTATTTTACAAAATTTCCACAAATACTCGATTAGTTTTTTATGATTTTTATATACACAAATACATAAATTCATACATAAAAATGGTAATTTTAGAATGTTATATTTAATATTCTGAGCAGCACATGGTGATTGGTTAACTTTTATCCAACGTTACTATCAAACTTCAGGCAATGGTTAGCCAACCAATTTGTATTGCTCAGCTTATTAACCCTTTGAGTGCCGGGAGCCGATATATCGGCTCCTGCTACACTGGCGAGAAGTGCCAGAGCCGATATATCGGCCCGCGCCTCGTAGCGCTTTACTATTCGCATTGCGGGAGAACTCTATCTCAAAATAAATTTGTAATACGTTATAAATGATCTAATTTCATTATGAGAGAATTAAAAAAAATAGTTTTTCGTTTTAACTCTTTGTGGACGACGACCTTTTCCTATCGCTTGGAGGTACCGAAGTCTAACATAAACACCGATGGTCGCCACTCAGGCGATATTCGATCTGCGGCGTAAATCGCTGTGGCGTTGGACCCTTATCGGTACTTGTCGACAGTGTTTTATACAACACAAAATAACATCGTATTGCCGCAGTGAAACGTAGAATCAGTTAGTTTCTCCACGATCGTTGATGTGAACAGTATATTTCGTCCCAGTTACAGTTTGAAAGCGTGTTTTGTGTTATTACCGTTGTTTTTCACTTGTGTCAAACATTGTTGCTTTTGACGAAAATTTTACCATCAACCGTTTTATAAAAAAAACCCGTCATGGATGACGCGGAATTAGTCCGAATGGTTGACCAGATGGATCTAGCACATAGTGACGAGGAAGAAATCGTGGCATCAAGAAGTCAGCATCCACGTAGGATCTACAGTGATAGTGAAGCGAGCGATGACAGCGAATCAGAATTAGAGGGAAACGATACCGAGGAAGAGCTGAGAGATTTCCGTGAAGTTACCGTGGCCAACGACAGCGAATATAATCCTCGCCCACAATTTGTGGAAATTGCTGAGCCTAAACATATGCCAGCAAGAAATTCCATGCCGAGAGCGTATTTTGATCTTTTTTTTACGGAAGAATTTTTGAGCTTATTGAGAAGTGAGACGAATCGATATGCCAGGCAGTTCCTGAATAGAATCAATGTTCCCTCAGGATCCAGAATAACAGAGTGGAAGGCAACCACAGTTTCAGAAATAAGGGCTTTTATTGCTGTGCTCTTGGAAATGGGTATAACACGTAGACCGACACTTTTTAGTTATTGGTCAACAAACCACAGACAAATCCCATGGTTTGGCCAAATGTTCAGTCGCAACAGATTTCAATTAGTTTGTAGGTTTTTCCATGTAGTAGACAATGAAAAATTACCAGCACGTGATAATCCAGAATATGACCCTACAGCGAAATTTCAATCAGTCGTTATCCACGCAAACAATAAGTTCAAATTTCATTATTCGCCTAACCAACATCTGAGTATTGAGGAATCATTAGTCGGCACGAAGTGTAGAACGTCGTTGATTCAATATCTGCCAAATAAAAAGCATCACAGGTGGGGTATCAAGTTTTGGATGTTGACTGATGCAGTTACCCATTACTGCTTATCGTTCTTCTGCTATAGAGGAACTAGGGATCAAACTGATGAAGAAGAAATAAAGAAGAATGGTCTTGGCCACGTCGTGATTCATAAATTATTGAATATGGGAAATTATTTTATGAAAGGCTATCACGTGGTAGCAGACAATTTTTTTACAAGCATTCCGTTAGCAAGAGCACTGTTTGAAAAAGGGACATATCTGACTGGCACAATCCGCAGCAACAGGAAATATATTCCATCATTTATGAAGCCTAAATTGCAAGAGGGCGCATCTAAGTACGCCCGAAATAATGAAGTATTACTATTAGCGTACCGGGAAAAAAAGTCGCAGAAGAAAAATGTTTTACTAATGTCCACATTTGAGAAGGCTCAGAACAAAACGACTACAATCAGAAAAAGGAATGCACAAATACAGGTCGAAAAACCAGCAATCGTAGCTGAATATAACAAACACATGGGAGGCGTAGACACGTCAGACATGATGCTATACTCATACTTAGATGAAAGAAGAGCCATAAAATATTGGAAAAAAGTAGTTTTCTCCATTTTCTCCCGAATGGTGCTGAATGCCTACATATTATATCGTCACAATACAGACGGCAAAACCAAAACAAGACTAGAATTCATTACTGATGTTATCCAGTCGATAACCACTGAATGGTTGGCACTAAAGAGGATAGCACGCGACACACCATTAGCGGAAACTTCAACAAATGTGCCCCGCATAGGTGTACGGAAACTGCCTGGAAAACTGGAAAGGGTTTGCGTGGTGTGCAGCAGAAAGGATGGTGGCCCAAAGAGAAAATCACGCACAGTTTGCAATAAGTGCAACAAAGGATTGCATGGAGTGTGCATTAGTAGCCACGAATGCTAAATAAATTATTTGTGTGAGTTGCAATAATAAAATTTGACACATTTGCAATATATAAATATAAATATTTATGACAACATAATTTTGTTTCAGCAATGTTATATTACCGATAACAATTACATATTTCGAAAGAGATAATCCGCCTGGCGCCTACCGTGTACCTTCAAGTTATGTTTTATTTTTGTTATGTAATATTGTTTATCTTGTTACAAAATATATTGGAAATACAAAGTATATGCTTCATAATAATTGACCCATATAAAATTATGGTGAAAAGATGGCTGTTTGTATGTGCGAATACGTTTTGTACGAGAGAACTCAACTTTTACTTCATTTATAAACATATATACCTTTGCTTTTTCTATAATTCTCAAATGAGTACAAATAAACTAGTGTCATTGTTTAGTTCTGTATTTCATCTATAATACGCAGCTTTTTGAATCATGTAAATATCGTTTCTCGTTTGGTTTTTATAAGCATTTTCTCGAACCCTTGTAAAACTGTGAAATTCGGCCGGTTATTCTCGCATAGGCACCTCTATTTCGCCCGGCACTAAAAGGGTTAATATATTTTTTTTCAAATTTTCAAAAGTAATTCTTAAGATTTATTTTGTGATATTAATAACATTTTCTTCCTAAAATTGAAATATATACCAATATTCTTATCCACTTTTAATCCGTAAGAGTGGACATACAGGAGTAAAACCTATAGACACCTACAGACGCATGAACAAACAAATGTTTCTCAGTTTTGTTTTGAACGACATTTTCAACAACTTGTCTCTACCATTTTAGCTTTTCTCTTAATTTTATATATTCTCACACACGTATACACACATACGTACATAAAAGGTATGGAAGAGATTTAAAAGTAAATGATATTTGTTTTAGGTTGTCGGAATGCACCCATTTCCCTAGAAGCAAGGTCATTGACCGGATGGAGTACTTCTAGGCACTGTGTTGTTGCAAAAGCTCTAGATATCACACCATCTTTCTTTCAGTCTATTAAAAATAAGGCTGGTGCATTGGTAATTGTCTTACCTGAACGGATGAATGAGCTAACAATGGAGCAGAAGCAGGTTAATCTTAATAGTTGTAATATGTTTTAGCATAATGTTATTGTAAATAATTAACGCAAGTTGGGTAACTTCTAGTTTTGATTGTAGCGCATTATGAATTTGGAAGAGTCTATGATGTATGGTTCTGAAACAATGATACCAGTATACTTTGTATTATGGCATTCAGACCTTCAAACAATCTTAGATGATATTGCGGAAGGCTTTATTACTGATGAGAAAGCTGGTTCGGCAGCGGAAGCCATGTATAATTCAATTTCCGCTAGTGGTTACCAAGTAGTAGTAGCCTCTGGACAAGCTCTTCCTAAAACAGATATTAAAGTCGCCACTTTGCATGGTAAATTAACTGGTACTGGCGCTGAAGAAAAGTTACCTACAATAGCGATAGTGACACATTATGACAGTGCTGGTATAGCACCTGTAAGTCTTACTTTGATATTATATAACATTTGATAATTATAAACATCAATATATGAAATACACACAAAACGTGTGATACATTTTATTCCTATTGTAGGAATTATCTTTTGGTGCAGACAGTAATGCTTCTGGTGTATCCATGCTCCTAGAAATAGCACGGTTGTTTTCTACCTTATATTCTAATGGTCGATCAAGACCACAATACAATCTTGTTTTTATTATAACTGGAGCTGGTAAATTAAATTACCAGGGTAGTAAGAAATGGTTAGAGGATCAATTGGATGGTTTAGAGGGATCTATTATACAGGTAATTATGGCATGCTGGAATGCTGACTTATTTTGATACTATAACGAAAGGAATGGTTTTTTTACTTCTGACATATTATCTTTCTCATGATTAACTCTCTTCGGTCGTAATAGTTGTAAGCATGGGTATCTTGCCGGGGATATCCTTTGACCGGAAAGAGTTAATGTATCTCTCAAAATTAATGTACGAGGGCAGTCCGATAAGTACTTAGCCTACAAAAGAAAAACGAAAATTTTGGAAAAGTGGCGATTTATTTCTCAACATAGTCTCCTTTTAGCTCGATTCTTGACCCAGCGATGCTCCAACTTCTTTAACCCATCTGAAAGATACGTTTTCTCGAAGTCTGCAAAGTAGGCCTCCGTGGCGGCGATGACCTTCTCATTCGGTCAAATTGGTCGAATTGGACTACGAACTGCTGCCCCATCCACCGTATTCTCCAGATTTGGCCCCGTGCGACATTTTTTTGTTTCCAAACTTGAAAAAGTCACTCGCCGGGCAGAAATTTGGGTCGAATGAGGAGGTCATCGCCGCTACGGAAGCCTTTGCAGACTTCGAGAAAACGTATTTTTCAGATGGGTTAAAGAAGTTGGAGCATCGCTGGGTCATGTGTATCGAGCTAAAAGGAGACTATGTTGAGAAATAAATCGCCACTTTTCCAAAATTTTCGTTTTTCTTTTGTAGGCTAAGTACTTATCGGACCGTCCTCGTATCTACAGTGTAAGAAGCTAGGAATCTCAATTTTGTAAATTACCCTTGCTATTCTTTTCGATATAGCGTAACTATTCGAATATATGATTATTTTAAACACAGGATGCAGCTTACGTAATATGCCTCGACACAGTTTCCGCGAGTGATAATTTATACGTACATGTATCGAAACCGCCTAAAGAAAATTCGTCTGGTGGTTTATTTTACAAAGAACTCAAAGCTGTGTCACAATCGTTGTACGCTGTCAACGTTGAAGGTGTACATAAGAAAATAAATCTTGCGGAAGAAATATTAGCTTGGGAACATGAGAGATACAGCATTCGAAGATTGCCAGCTGCGACTTTATCTACATTAAGGAGTCACGAAGATCCATCCAGAACTACTATATTAGATGTCACTAGAGAAGGACAAATAGATAAGTTGTACAAACATACTCAAGTTGTCTCCGAAGCATTAGCGCGTCATATATATAATTTGAGTTCTAGTCAAATCTTCGCTGGTTCATTGGTATGTTTATTACTACATTTATAGTGTATGTGCACATATATAGAGCGTTTGATAATTATGATGACGCAACGCTCAAGTGAACAAAGTATATATTTTCTCATTTCAACTTATTGCGCCAGTTCAGCAGTGCGGCTATAAAGAACAGACCACTTTTTTACAAAGTTCGTCTTACTCCACGTATTTGTTTATTTCATTTAATATATACAAAGTGTCCTATTTTACTTTAAACAGTCAAATATCAAGAAATTATAAGATTTTAGACAAAGAAATGTTTCGTGCAAAAGTTTTATGAGGGAGACACAAGATGGTGCCATTGATTGGTTTGGATAGTTGTTTGAAGCTTATCTCCAATTTGTCACATCGAAATCTCCATTTCTCACTGCAAATTATTTGTAGAAATGTTCAAGCTTCGAAATGACACATCAACTTTCAAAATATCTCTGGTAAATTTGTAACTACAATCACCTATAGTGAGCCCTCAAAACTTTAGGGAACAGCTAATATATATATATAGTTTAATTAATTTCTCAACGATTATTGCGAAATGTGTAAAATAGTGGAGAACTTTCATGTTCCAATTAATTCGTTATATCTGAATACGAGCGTTATATCGTTAATTGTAAAGCGCTCTGTACATGTTTTATTTAACTATGTACGTATAAAATGTTCATATTAAGATGTATTAGAAAATTATTTTTTTAACATCTTAATATTAATCATATGTAGAGTTAGTAATTATAAATGTTGACAAGTAACGATATATGTTTATACAAAGGAATTTCATGTTAAAATCTATCATTGCAGGATGTTTCAAAGGAATCGCTGTCCTTATGGTTTAATTATTTTGCTTCTCAACCAAGAGCGGCATCCCTACTAGTAGATAAACATAATTTACTAGTTGCTACTTTGAAAGAAGCAATGACGAGATATTTGGGAGATGTTAAAATTACTTTGCACGCTCCTGATAAACGGGATCCAGAATTTGTATTTTATGATGTTGCAAAAGCAACTTTGAATGTATATAGGTAAAATACATAGTTTTCTATATTTTCTATATACAAATACAACACGCGCGTACTTCATATACACACGTACAACACACGCATGCACGCATGTACAAATATGCGGCAAACACGTGCGCGCACACAAATGTTACACATAGTAAATAATATTTATATGTAAATAGACTTTCCAATTATATGGATAATTATTTTTATTTTATTGCAGTGTAAAGCCGGCTGTATTTGACCTCTTTCTTACAATCGGCATAATTTTGTACCTGGGGATACTGTACATAATTGTGCACAATTTTCCATACGTTTATTCCCTAGCAACAAAACTCTCCGCAAAAAGCAAGACAACTTAAATTTATTTCATATTTACAAGCAAGGAACTGAGAATTATTTAAATATTAATTTTCAGTAATGTTGAACAATCGATCTATGTTGAAAAGAGCGTTTGCTGTAATTAGAAAGAGAGAGTGTGTATGTGTGTGTGAGAATTTCCTCTGATAACTTATATAAAGTACACATTGATTGCGTTCAGAAAACACAATAGTTGTGCAACAGTTGAGTAATTCGTCAACATTAGTCTAAATTTAGGGGTCTAATAGTAAAGGCCAATAATCATTGACTGCTCATTGATCACTTGTGTTTTCTGAATGCAATCGTTGATGCATATGTAGGTATTTGCGGTTGACATGATATATCAAACATACAAATTCGTTTATGTATTTATTTCACGAATTGTTAATTACGTAATAATTAAAAATATGGTATACCTTTTTATAAAGCTCCATATTATTATCCTTTCTGAGTTTTTCTTCTAAAGAGATATTGTACTCCTTAAACTTAGAATTAAGCACTTTTTTTATTAAATGCACGTTTTTTATTTCAACCTAGATTATAACTTATTCAAAGTAAAAAAAGAAAGTCGGAAAAAACCGGTTGGTTTTTTGTAATTTTTTACAAGATACATTATTACGATGGCGTAGACATCTCAGTACACACACGTACAAGCACGGAATTAGTTCTACTATTTTGTAATTGTTAAACGTTTTCTTTTTGAATGTGTACGAGTAAGATTATATCGGACAGTCTCATCAGGATGTCATTAAGATGCACAGTATGTACGGTTTGTTATTCATCACTATTATCGTAACAATTTTCTTTTTGAACAGTATTTATGAAATGTTACGTAGATTTGCTGTTACTTAGATTTTCCACAATAGCGGCGGTTTTGAGTTCGATTCTCTTACAGCCACTCATTGAGTATAAATTATGCGGCTTGGGTCCAAAGCTTAGATGCGACAGAATCTCCTGGATCATATCTTCCTTCGGAGAAATGACATTTCGTTCAGTGAATGCACGTACTATACATTTCCTCGTGTGCACTTCCTCGAGTGGCAGGAATGGCACATAATAATCGATCACATTGGTCTGTATGGTATCGCTATGGTGAAAACCGCCCTTCTCGTTGAACGCACCATCAGCGATTAGTTTCTCGAAGTCCTGTAGCCGCATATCCTCTCGTTTTTTACCTCTTTCCCACAGACTAGCGAGCTGTCGCACAATCTGCGCGCTACCGGTGTTGGATAAGAAGATGAAGATCGCTTTGTTCTGATATATGAACTCGTTGTGTTTCGATGATTTGTGGTAACTGTGGTAGTCCAGGAACGGTACCAGCGTGTTCAGTAGGCCTTCCGGCATCTTGTCCACCTCGTCGAACACGAACATTGATCTCTCACACTTTCGTAAGCTTTCTGAAATTTTTTCGTACAGCTCCTCCTAAATCGTGGAAAACAGTATTCTTATATATTTATCTAATTATTTCGGTCTTCAGTCCCTGCCGTTTTGTTTTAGTGGGTAACAAAAAATTGTTGAATGTAGAGATTCGAAATAAATTTGTAGAATTAAAAATTCAAAAGAGAAAGTTAAAACAGGGACTGAATACCAAAATTATTTCAATTGCCGGTATTTTATAATTTTGGTATGATACAGATATTGGGCATTTAATATCAATATTACATCGAAATTGTTGTCATATCGTTGTTATAAAATAACAATACATACAATACTGTAATAATTTCTGTAATACTGTAATAAAATAACAATATATACAGTACTGAAATAATTATATTCGGTATTCAGTCCCTGCTTTACTCATACAAATTAGTTTAAATAGATAATAAAAAATACCTTATATTCATCTATCTTCCTTTGCAAAGGATAATCGTTGCGGCCATTGAAAAAGTAATAATATTTACTGTGGATTCCTTCTTTGTAGAGTGCTGTGGCAATCATTTGCACTACATAAGTTTTTCCAGTTCCTGGTGTGCCATGAAAACTCATGACTAGTGCCTTTGGTGAATTGTGTGTATGAAAATATCCACGAAGTGCATTTATGATGGTCTCGTGAGCAATTTGCTGACCATACAGATTAGCAGTAAGCATATAATTTAATCCTGTAATTTTATTATGCAGATGTTTACACACAAGCAATAATTAATATCTATACATATTAGCACATATAACTTTAGATTTTTGTTTAATTCTAAAGGCAAAAAGAAAGTTAGAAATATGTGATGATTTGTAAATCGACACACATACACTTTTATATATAGGATGTTCTAAGCCGACAAACTTCAAGTACTTATAAAGGATATTTAATATTGGAATATATATATATACACATAGAAGTATCGAGTATTTTTAAAAATATAAACTAGATATCATTCCTGCATTTCAGAAAGTATTAAGTATTACTATACATATCCATTCAAGATTTGATCAAACTTCTTATGAAGAAATTATCACAAAAATGCAATAACATAGTCTTATAATTAAGTGAATGGAATATGCGTCTACCATAAATAAATATCAATATTCTAAAAGTATGGAAGAATATAACTTTTAATATAGCTAACTTACTATCTATATCGGAGAGAATATATTTGTCCGTACAACATTCCTGATATTCGCAGTTATACTTATCATACATGTAATAAGCAAAACTACTCAAGGCTGCAGTAGCCACGGAAAACGTTATAAGCTCACATTGTATGGATATAATAAAGATGGACAGAAGCAAAAAAATGTAAATATAACACTTCATTTTTAATGAACACTATATTTTATATTTTCTTCTATAATCTTCCCCCCTATATAGTTTACATGACAACAGTTATTCCAAGTTATACAAGCAGTGTTAAGATCGTTCTTAACTAAATTAAATTTGATTTATTAATTAAAAGTAGATCTTCGCTTATAGGCATCACAAAGGAAATTTAACACGGCTGAAGTAATCGGACAAAACGTTCGAAATAGGATCGGAACAGTCAAAGGTGCACAGAAACAGGAGACAAATTCCGAATTGACTGTATCTCTCTTTCTTTCCAAATATCGGTTATAGGCTAATTCATTCGTAGTTGCTTTTCAAAAACCTCACTCGCGGTGTGTTGAAGATTTTCTAAAGCCAGTGGTACACGATGCTTGTTTCGTGCTGGTTTGCTTGTGGATAGAAATACTGCGTTCTGATTGGTGCATTTCCAAAAAAATGGATGACAATATTTAAAGCGTTCGGAATCCTCGATGCACGAAGGCACACCTTTCCTACCGAAATCATGGAAACAAATCGCACGTGTGCGGTTCCCGAACGCACTGTAAATGCGGCCAATGTTTATAATGTTATCCCGCCATTGCTTTGAACTCATAAGACAATGAAAAAGATGATGAAACATGCAATCAAGAAAATATCTTCAGTTAACATTGGCTATACTTAAACCGCATATCGTTAAATGCCCTTTTGCTCTTCAGGTACGAAATTCGCTTATTATAAATTAAATACAATCCGAGTTCGCGAAGGAGGTTAATTGGAACGATTTCATTCGCGTTAATGTAATCGAGTGAGAAATTTTAAAACACTTTCCAGAAAAAATTATCACTAAAGTTTATTCTGATTTTTCAGAAAATTCGCGATTTAATAATCGACAATGATTTCAAAGTTGTCAGATCACGCAGGATGACTATCTCTCGTGAAGAAGCTGAGCTTTTTTACAAGGAACACAGGGACAGATTCTTTTATAATCGTCTCCTTTCGTTCATATGCAGCGGACCATCGGACATACATATTTTAGCAGCGCATGATGCAATTGTCAAGTGGCGACGATTGATGGGTCCAACTAAAGTCTATCAGGCACAATATATCGCACAGAATACCATTAGAGGAATGTTTGGATTATCAGATACTAGAAACGCCACTCATGGGTCCGGTAATATTTTCTACAACATCCGTAATAATAGATGCTTGAAACTTTTTTTCTTTACTTTCCAAACGATTGTATCACAAATGTCTGAATCACTTTGAAAGTTGCTCCAAAAAATGAAAAGTTTCTAAAGTTTTCCATTATCCCGAAGAAATGTTTACATGTATGTTTTACCGATATATTTGGATTATATTAATATAGTCGATTGAATAGGCTTCTCCGAATTGTTTATTTTGAATAACTACCAAAACGAATGAAGGCTTTCATCATTTGTTCAAAATAATTTGATACGTCGTGATGTTTTGTTTATTCTAGATTCAACGGAATCTGCAAGCAGGGAGATAACTGTGTTTTTTAAAGATTTTAACATAAGGAACTGGTATGACAATGAAGAGTTATTTTATTATCTAGGAAGATTGTATTTTGATCAAACATCGTTCGTACATACCATTGACAAAAGCTACACGAAAATATGAAAAATGGGCGAGTTATGAAATAATTGGTTAGTTGTTTTCAACTCTCCTCTTTTCCTTGCTTTTTGCATTCTGTATTACATCAATTTAAATAAAATTTATCATATCCACTCTCTCAGAAACTCATCATTATGTAATTGTTATGCTTTTATATACAAAACAATGGACAAAATTAAGGGATATGTTTTATTGCGAAAAAATAATTTTATAATCCTTTCTTAATCACAAAATCTTTCAAACGTGAGACAATTGAGAGTAATTTTTCAGTATGTGCGAAATGCATGTACAATTAATCATTTTGCAACACTTGGCAATAAAACAATCACATTCATTATATTAGACCCTCGATATAGTGCACGATACTTCGTGATGATGATAACAGCCAACAATAGTTACTGTATGTACATGTTATATAATCATAAGGGGGATACAGTCTATGCATTTATCTCGACGTAAACTTTAGGACGTGAAAACACTTTAATCCCTTCTTCTAATTTATTCAATTGCTTCTCTATTTCCATCTTACGCCTTTGTGCCCTGAGTGTATCCGTTTTTATAGGCATCATATTCAATTCATCGACATATTCTTGATAATCTACATTGAGACATATGGTACAGATTAATTTGACAAATATTCATTTAACCTTTAAAGGAAGAAAATATCCCGAATACTATTAAATATTATTTACAAGATACGCACTTTTTTTTAATAACCGCAATGTCTCCTTACGCTCGTCATCAGGCAAAGGTACATGACCCTCTGGACAATCAGGATATAACATTTCCACTTTGGATTTCTGCTCTTTTTGCTGAGCTTCTTTTCTATCTTGAAGATATCTATTTGCAAAATTATAAAGATGTCTTGTAATATATTCAGCTATGTGATCGAGCAGCTCAAAGTAGAAATATTTGTATTCAAAATTTGACTTTGGATAATATTTAATATCGAAAGGAGAGAAATCAAGCGAAAATAATGTTCACTATAGGACAGAAGAGAAAAATAATTTTCGCTTGCTCTCTTTGCGTTTACATCGCATAATTTGTTTTTCACGTTCGAATACAAGTTGCTCGAATATATCCACGAGTCCGAAGGATTTGAAGAATTTAAGATTTATCATAAAATTTCTACCGTTCGAATTGTTCGATTATCTGCAAATTTTGATGAGTATTATTTGCGATATCGTACTTAGGAACAACTCCTTTGCGATAATGTACAGGTAGTGCACCACTGTTGAGTTGCATCGCCAACTTATTAGCCACGGAAGTGTATTCTTTATTCAACTTGATGAAGTCGACTTCTTTATTGTGTGTCGGTGACACAGCATTTCGTAAATCAAGCTTCCGCAAGTCTTCAGGAGTGTACATATCACCTCTGCTGTTTGCAGCAGAATATGACTGTAGTTTCGAAACTTTTTTCCCTTGTTCATTTAAATTGACATTACTAACTGTATCGTCATGCTTTGTAATTCTTTTTGAGGGATACCTGTTAATGAGAATCCGATTGAGAGAAAGTGTAGCTCTTACATAAAGTTTTACTGTTGTTGATTCTACATATATTACTCCATTAATAAGTCAACACAATAAATAAGAAGGAAATAAGTCAGAGTTATTAAGAGAAAAAATTAGATGGATATGATTATCAAAATATTTAAGTAAAGATGGGGAAGAAAATAAAATCAGGAGATGATTTCTTTCTCGTCTATTCTTTATATAACAATTTAAATATACTTACCGAATGATACCTTCGGAATATATACTTTCCATTTGGTCTGTATCCAAAGTTTGGGTTCCTTGATTTTTGCACTTAACAATATTTTGTACATTTATATTATTTACAACATTGTCAAATTTATGTACATTTAGTAAAGACGAAATTTTTTGCCGACTGTAATTTTTATTGTGTTTGCTTATTCTTTCTGGTTTTCTCTGTTTATCAGATATGTTACAATCTATCTCTGTTTTGAAAATTTTGTTGGAAGCAGTAACATGCTCCGATTCAAGTATATCAATTTCATCTTGAGCTTTTTGCTCCTTATTTTCCACTTTATTAGTTGGAGTCAGGTCGATATTATCTTTCGATACTGTGTTATTATCTTCATGTTTCTTTTTTTCACGAAAATGAGTGATTACCCTCGCAGATACATTTTGGTATTTATCTATGGGTCTGCCGTGATATTTACGCAGCTGTAGTTTCTGAAACTCTTCTGCTTCCTTGTTAGCTTGAAAGCACTGTTCCATTCGCCGGAGGTTTTTCACATTTTCATGAATGAAATTTTTCCTCTTGAGTGGTTCTGAAAATAATACATAAATATCTAAAGTATTCTGTGTGTGTGTGTGTGTGTGTGTGTGTGTGTCATTAATCGCAGTAACATTTTTATCGTATTTAATAATGTCCGTTCATAATAAATAAAAAAAAATAAATACACACATACGCATAAATATTACTTACTAGGGTCCGGAAAGATCCCCTTTAGTGTTGTTACTTTCATTTTTTCGATAATGATATTTCGTCGACGCTATAACTGCTCTACATTTAGAATTTACATACTGAAAGAGGACTGTTGTTTGTACACGAGATTAACACAGTTTTATCACATAATTTATATGAAGCATTACGCAACCGTCCGTTACCACATAAACAATTTTGTTTACTTTTTGTTCGCAGTTATGGCCGCGTACAGCCTTAAGGCTTGTCTTTCACACAGCGTCCATTACAAACTAGGAAGATCCAGAAATCTCAATATTAGAGAGCGACACTGCCGTTCAATGTTAGAACTTCATTGTGTCAGTCTCTGTCGGTAAGAATGGATAACACAATAACAACTGATCAATAGTGGGCAATTTAAATTTCTTGAGGTCGATAAGTTACCAGGGTGGATAAATTTTCGAATGACGATAAGTTACGGGCGTTGATAAATTACCGAGGGTCGATGAGATTCCGCTGATCGATTAATTATCATGGATGATAAGTTTCTGAGTTTCGTTCAGTTATCAAAGTCGATATGCTTCCGGGAATCGGTAAGTTACCAAGGTTGATAAGTTTCTGGGGGCAAAAAATCTCTTCATAGCGCATCGCAGAGGCTGAGTGAGTTTCAAAGATTGCAATTCTCGGATAGATTCAAGTAAGAATGATACTTCATATTCATCCAATATATATAAACCATAGTGTATTCTCGAAGCAATATATGATCACACCGGTCGAGGCCATGTCGAGGTCATGTCGAGGTCATGTCGAGGTCATGTCGAGGTCATGTCGAGATCATGTTGAGGTCATGTTGAGATCATGTTGAGGTCATGCTGAGGCCGCTGCGCGTCGATGTAAACAAATGATCGTTGTAATTTACCTATTGCGAGTTACCAATTTTTTTTTTCACTCCTTTATTTGAAATTGAATAAGGAATCGAAATATGTAAACATTACTGACGTAATTGATTGAGAAGTACATGTAATTTCTCTATGGACGGAATATAGTTCAACAGGAGTGAAGCAATAGTGAGGAGGGGGATTAGATCGTCGGCCATTTATGTGGGCCACTAGTAGTGCCACTTATCGATACTTAGTTATATTATCTGCTTTAATCATCCTGTAATAGTCTTAACTTTCTTAACTGTTTAATACTTGATCTCCCTTTTTCTTTCTTTTCCGTTATTATAAATATATATTCTTTCTTTTCCGTTATTATAAATATATGCTCTAAATCGGCATGTAGTGTCGCTTTCCCTATAGGTCCGAAGTAATACTTTATGTTTTCTATAGATGACAGCACTAGTGGCCCATGTAAACACGGCCGACGATTTAATCCTCCTCTCTACCATTGCTTCATACCCCTCATCCAATCATATCCGTCACCCTCTTCACGCCTAATGCTCCATCCTTTAAGTCCATGTGCATGTGGATGGGGGCTGATGGCGGCCGTGAGGCTCCAGTGATAAAGTAAAAACCACAGCGCAGCCACTCGGCGCAGCACATCATCCGTTTCCGTATAGTGCGTCACTTCGCGCGTTTAGAACGGAATTGATCTTTGTGTGTACGAGTCGAGCTACCTAGACCATACGATTACAAGACTGCGCCACGAGATCTTGCCTTTTCCCTGTGATCCCGGATTTTCGTGGGATAAGTCATGTGTTCGCTCAAGCCGGATGGCAAAAATCACACCATGATACGCGACGACGATGTCAGTGACGCGTTTGGCTGCACCAGGTAGGAAACGAACTTCACGTTGGGTCGTAACATCCGACGCGTGCGAAATCGTGTATTCATGTTGCTGCGACACAAAGCCTTGCAATGAACATTCGCGCACAATCGTGAAAGTAAGATGTAAATTTGTGCAAATACATTTCTGTGAATAGTTTTCTATATCTGCGAATTTGACGTAGAAGTAGTAGTAATTTTGAAGTAGAAATAGTTCGAATCAAATAATTTCGCATAAATTCTTGTGGTGAGATATCAAGGAAAGTATTTAGACCACCAGTTGAGTCTTAGGTTTTCACATTACCAGTTGTTTGATCACTTGGTTGGAATGAGTCATTTCTCAGATGCATCGAACCAATTGACTAAGAACGAAAAAAAACAAAGAAATATTATAATATGGAGTGGTCAAAAAGAGATAAAATTGAATTTTTTGCAGGAATAGCATTGTTCCCATAGGGCCGTTGCAAACAGCACCTACAGATCGCTATGCTTTTTACTATAAGATGAGCCATGAGAAACGTGGCTTAGCCATTATTTTTAATCATGAGTTCTTCACAGTCTCGCATCTCAAACCTCGTTGCGGTACAAATGTCGATTGTGAGAATCTAAGCAATACACTGAAAAACCTTGGTTTTGAAGTAAATGATTTTCATAATTCGACTCACAAAGATATAATAAAAAATTTAGAAAGGGGTAAGCCAGTCTTTGAATTGTTTATTTGTTTTGTTACTGAAAAAAATTACTTCTCAAAAAGTATAAGAGAAGAAAGCATCGAAAGAATACTTCATAAAATCATCACAGAACATAATAACAAGTATACCTTGTGAAACAATAGCTAATTATTATCTTCACAGTTGCAGACATGGATCATTCCCAACATGATTGCCTGATAGTGGCTGTACTAAGCCACGGTGAGCTCGGAATGCTTTATGCTCATGATACTGGGTACAAAGCTGAATCTCTTTGGCAATATTTCACTGCCGACAGATGCCCGACTCTGGCTGGTAAGCCCAAGATGTTCTTCATACAAGCCTGCCAGGGTGATAGACTGGATTCAGGTATTACACTGAAAGAACGTACCGAAACGGATGGACAGTCAACCACAACATTCCGTATCCCCAGTCAAGCAGACTTTCTGATTGCTTACTCAACCATACCTGGTTTGTATCGTTAATTTGAGCACTTTCTTCAAAACATAGATAGTGATAGCGGAAAGGAGCTGCTTTGTGATTCAAAAAGTGTCTCGACCGGCAGGTTATTATTCCTGGAGGAACACCAGTCGTGGATCATGGTTCATGCAGGCGTTGTGCATGGAATTGCGCGAAAACGGCACCCGTTACGACATGTTGACTCTGCTAACGTTCGTGTGTCAACACGTCGCCCTGGACTTCGAGTCGAACACGCCTGATAATATTACCATGCATCAACAGAAACAAATCCCGTGTATCACTTCTATGTTGACGCGTTTGGTGAAGTTCACAACTCCGAAGAATGGCCTAGTATAGTCGAGCATTGTGAAGTAAGTAATTATCTACTTACTCATTACGTACACAGACCAGCATAATGTAACGGTAGCCTTAATATGTCATATAACCGTGGTAGTAAGATATCCTATCGTACGCATTATCGATTCATCATTTATTTATCACTCGAAGAAATAGCAGCGATTTGCCAGTGGTATATTTGTTATAACAATAGCTGCACAATAATAATATTCAGAAACAGATGTGAACGGTTACAAGTAGCTTAATCATTATATGCGTGTTAAGGCTATGTCTTGCTGGTATGTGTACTCACGATACACAGGTCTGATCATCTCTCAAAGCTGCTAGCTGGATGGAACGTACCAATTTTATTTATACGCTGCACTTTGCCAATGCGATTGTTGTGTATTGCATTTTGGGAACAAGATGTTGTATCTTGTATATTTAATAATTCTACAAATTGTCCGTGCAAGTACTAAAGTAACGTTTAAAAGTAAACATTCATACATTAAGAATAGCAATATAAGATAATATCCTCTTATTATTGATAAGTTTCTGTACACAATAGTATTATTTTTCTTGTTTTCTTCTTTCTCTACTTAAGTTATTCTTTTTATCCTATCTCTCGCAAGAGAACAGATAACTACATACTGCCACATTGTGCATTTATTTTTCACGTCTTCAGTCACAATTACTTTCATGACACAAAGAATACATATTACAAAAAGAAAGTGAAATATATGTCCTTTCGTTATCTTATCTGAAGGTATAGCACAGAAACAGCTATTTATGACAAGCATTAAAGTATAAAACACAAAGATTTATTAGGAGACACTTGAGATCTCCTCTAAAGCAATCGCTTTGCCTGTGAGATCTTCATTTAGCAAGTAATTGAAGTACATAATAAGTACAAAAGTGACAGATTTACCGATTATATTAAATAATATACCATATATGTATTCTTAATCATATTTTCCATCGGTATATAATTTATATATAATAGCATATATAACATACATTGATATATAAATATATGAAACATATATTGAAGAAAAAAAATCACAATAAATATTTCATACATTCTATTGCAATAGCACTTTGATGTTGCATATATATATTAATAGAATATTTTTTAATCAGTATATACGCGATGTGACTGTCCTAAACTTTTACAATCATATACGTATATTTTATACCGAACATGTGTAAGAGCAATCTGTGTACGTTCATTGCAATAAGCAATAGCCTGACGTCAACGAAACAATGTGTATTTCGCGACTCTACGCAATTGTATAACCCGCCTGAGATAGAAAATAGTTGTGATTACCTGTGTATAAGCAGCAACTACAATGAGTATTCAGACGTTACAGAAACAGTTTTGAAAAAGAAAGTGCGAGAGAAATTTCTCCGTAGTTAGGCTAATTGAGATAAGTTACCTGTGCATGCGCCGAAGTATCAGTCAGCGGATGTACAATGGAATGGATAGTTAAGGAACAATTATATATATATATATCGACGGCTGCGGCTAAGAGCAACAAAATTTTGCGAAACGTGATACTGAGTCTTTCATAGTAAGAATAATCGAATTCTCATAGGCCTTATATATTTGCAATTGTTTTATAACTACGGTTAAACTATATAAGACTATATAACATAAATACATATATACATATATATGTGTACAGGATGAACCAATGTGATTAACTTAATTTTTTGCTGTTAGTGGAGCGATTGAAAATGTTCTTGTTCAGTATACCATGGTGAGCTTCAGGATGATCTTAAAGCTCACCTTGAATCATGTTATATTAGACAAAAAATTTTTCAAGCGATTCACTAACAGCAGAACAAATTAAGCTGATCACATTCCGTGGCTTACCTTGTATATTAAGACATCTCAGGCCGCGTTCTGATATTTACTCCCAGTACTGAAAATCTATAGTTTATGTCACGTATATTATAGATTTTCAGTACCGACGGTGAATATCAGAGCCGCAGCCTCAATATACAAGACGTTAGTAGTTCTGCGAATCGCGTTTTCACTTATTGTTCCTCTTATAAAAATGGCTGCGTTCAACAGAAGCGCTTGGTGGTCACATTGTCTGTGATTGGAGCATGCTTGATAGATTCAGAAGAGTGTGTATTCGTCAGGAGTGATAATCACTGAACGCTGGATTTCTGCTGGAACGCCGCCCGTAAGATGCTCGCAGTTTATATCATGCGAACGCGATGTTGCGATGTGAGCATCTTATTATCTAAAAGATGTTACAAAGTAATTGCTCAAGAATATAATGATGCGGTTGCAAAGTAGAATTGCACAATGTCTCACGTACCGTATTTTTGTGATAAGTGTGCGCTGACAGGTGAATTCATTTGTGAAACTGCATTTTTCAACATTGATACCGGTAAAGTAGCAATTTCGCAGCATCGTTATACCGTAGCTTTAGCGATACTTAAGTGTGCTTTTTGTAATACATATATTTGTAATATCTTTCTATACACGGACTTATACAAATTTACAAAATAAACGGGATAAAACGCACGGCTGGCTATGATTTCTTAATGCTGCAGTTAATCAGGCACAGTACTTTCCTCTTGAAGTGATAATAAAAAGTATATTTCTTGGACATATTTCTTTTTGTATTCGAGATAAAAAGAGTACACATACATACATACATATTAGGGGTTTACAAATTTGTTATTAAACACTACCATATTAATGTTCACAAAATTAAGATTACTTTCGCATTATCGACCGCGACTTCGGGAACGGTAACTTCTAACAACGCGGCAAGAATACGCATCTTTATACACGAGATATTAATTAACTTAACACAGTCATATAAATAGATTCACTGTAAATGGCAATGTTTGAGGGCCGCACGTAAGGGCACAGTGTTTCTCGCGGTGTGACGGTAGCTCTTTCGATTTCGAAGCCGCAGATTTTGCACTTACGTTAGGCGGTGGTACAACTTGGTCCCTTCGATTGATTCAAGTACAAAAGATTACAGATCTTGTCATTGAGGCACTTGTCCGGGGATGTTGATTATCGTCATCTTATTCGGTAATCGTTGCGACCTCTCCGGCGCGGTGTACGGACGGATTAACCTCGCGTGTGGGTTACCGTCGCGATGATCCAGCTCCAAATTCAAAGGATCTAATATCGTCGTTATGGTCTGCGTGCTTTTCTCGCCGGCTTCCTCGGGCGAATCCAGGGCCTCCGCGTTAGGCGAGAGATTCTCGTATTCAATAATCGGTTGCTCAACTGCAAGAGGGGCAGTCTTGTTTTTTCGCACGAAAACTTTCGCGACGTTCCTCCCGTCGCTGGTACCTACGAGAAAGTTCATTCGTCCACATTCGAATCGTGTATACATTCACATCTTACAAACACACATCGTCAGCTGGATAACACATACCATTACGTGACTCACTTATCGCGTGTTCGTCCTGAAATTTTAGATCATCAATTATATAAACCGCCAAACGTCATCCTTGAGAGCGAAGAATAAATGAGTAAATGAAAATAAATGAAAATAAATGAAAATAAATAATAAAATAAATCGCCCGATCGACTCGGGCGCGCACCTTAGCCGCTAGAAGATCTCTGATGGGTTTAAAAGGATTCGAGTGCACGGACGCCCTCGACGGCGTGTTCGACGCGACCGACCGCGTGTCCTGGATTCTCTTACGTTGGATTCGCTGCGGCTGTCTCGTTCTGCCGTTCAGCGCGGCGTAATTCTTCACGACCGTGTCCAACAGCCACCTGCGCGAAACAACGTCTGATCGCAAACGCGGAAGTACATGCCGTGAAACTCGCACTATCCACGTGCATCTAAATTCTGTTAACCGGCCACGGACTCACTTGTAACCGTTTCTCACGCCGACGTTGCTGTTCCTCGACTGTTCCTTGTAAACGCAGGAGCACGTTTCAACTCGGGTCGGACACTTCATTGCGTTGGCAGCGCGCTCCACGTCCAGGTTCTCGACCAGGTCCAGCTCGTCGACCGCGCCATTCAGGTCCTGCTTGTTGGCGAGTCTGTGCGCATTGCAAAACGCGACGATGATGAGACACGCGGTATCGGCAATACGCCCCGTCATATCTACGCAGCACTTTCTTTAATCGCATACACACGTGAATAATTCACAGATGCTGATTCTTCGTTTTCTCTCCGCGTTTCCTTAAACTATGCACTATGCGTGTAACGTATCAAGCAATCGTGTAAGCAAGCATCACCGATCGTGATGGGTGCGTAAGTAAACAGCGTGCGAAAACGTAAGCGTAAATTCAGTTCCCTTACAACAACAATGGTTTCGTCGAGATATGCTCGTGTGCGATTAATTCGTTAAACACGACTTTATTTTCGGCAAGACGGGAGATATCGCTAGCGTCCACCACGTATATAAGACCGTGTATCTAGAAGATGTCAAGGTGATAGGTACAATATCCGGGGCCTCCCATTGCCACTGTGTACAGACACAGCGGGCGATTGTATAATTGCGAATAATTCCATCGGTTACTTGTTACCGATCACACTTAATTACAGTTACTCGTACGATCGTAACTACTGTCGCTCATATTCGGATAATATTACAAGAATCACTCACGTCGTTGTAGTATTTGGGCCACAACGCCCTGATCTGTGAACTACCACCGATATCATATATCTTCACCAAATATGATTTGTGCTTTAAGGTTACCATACGGAACCCCATCGTAGGCAATACGTTTTGATCTGGATCTACAAAGATAAATAGGTGTGTGTTGCATAAAAGATCCGAGAATTTGTTTTCTACAAAGTAAAGTACATATATATATTTATATAGATTCACACACACACACACACACACACACACACACATTTAACGTGATACTTTTCACGGTATCGTAATGCGATCTTTATCTTCTAAAAAATACAGTCTTGAGAGACTCGAATTTATGACTTTCTAGATTCAAGTTTAAGAGAAATAAGCTTATCATTTTGCGATAAGGTCCATTTTACGATAGTAATGCTCGCACCAGGAGTCACTTACCACCGCTGATATGATTCAAAACCGAAGATTTCCCGGCGTTGTCCAGTCCCACGATAAGCAAGACAATGGTTCTGAAATAACGCGGGACAATGTGAACAAACCGGACATCGGATAAAACGGACTACGTGATGAGTTAATGTAAACAAATGTACCTTTCTGTTCCGCGGTTCGTCCGTAGCCTCTTCAGCATGCTCCTGATGCAATTGCCCATCGCGAGGAAGGATCCTCCGCGATTGTACGTCGCGCTTTTAATCGCGCATCGACGGGCTCTTGTCATTCATTGACCCGCAGGATCGTATATTCATATTTCGTAGATAACACAACAGGTAACGAAATCCAGGTGAGAGACACACATACACGTACACGCTCACAGGTGACGCATCCACCACGCCACGCACAACGGAGGCCGCCATATGCGCGAATGTATATACAGAGTGTATCAATAATTACGAAGCGGTCCTGCGTGTAAGACGAAGATCGAGGCCGGAAGCCCGGATTCCCTTCCGGAAAGCACAATATTACGTGATAATTGCACAAAGTACAAGAGATACGTTTGATATTGCATTGTTCACTATGGAGGAGCAATTGAAGTCCCTAAAAGTCGGCTTTATCGGAGGTGGAAATATGGCCATTGCTATAGCCGCTGGTTTAATTAACAAAGGTAATTTTATCCTCTCTCTCTTTCTTTCTCTCTCTCTCTCTTTATCTCGGTAATAAACTGATGAGTATAGAACAGATTTATTCACGTGGAAACACCAATGTGTTCTGTCACAACAGGTATATTAGATTCAGACAAATGCTGGGTTTCCACTCGTACAGATAGAACGCACTGTTCTTGGAGGGAACTGGGCACTCGTCCGACCTTGAAAAATCACGAGGTCCTGGACAACTGCGACGTCGTGTTTCTGGCGGTAAAACCGCACAACCTGGACGATGTCATAGTGTCGGAATTGTCGAGGATGCAGCATGAGTCAAAGCCGAGTATAAGAATATCGAAGTTTAGGAACAAACTATTTATCTCGCTGCTTGCTGGAGTGACTCTCGACATCTTGGAAGATGTAAAGAAAGCAGGATTTTACATGAATAATCTTTTACTTGAATAATCAATTTTTGCATAATGCGTTATGCTTCAAATATTCCTTGTGGCAATTCGTGAAGATGAAATATTTTCAGAAACTCGCTCAGATCGTGGAGTCGCCGAGAATAATTAGAACTATACCAAATACACCTCTGATGATTGGAGAGGGAATTACAGGTGAGTCACAATTACCGTGCCATCTGGACTAATTTGTAAATGTAAATGTAATTTTTAGCTTCTTGCCAGCGACACACCAATGTACAAGATCTAGAGATAGTGGATGCATTGTTCTCCCATCTGGGTATGTGCGTAAATGTTCCAGAATCAACTATGAATGCCGTTGGTGGTCTGACAGGTTCTGGTCCCGCCTTTGTAAGCCTTCACGATGCTATTGCATTATTAAGAGAAGAGAGAGAGAGAGAAAGTTACCTACAATTTCAGATGATTACTGTTTAGGCTTATGTCATCATAGAGGCATTATCAGATGGTGCTGTGAGAATGGGTGTACCGAGGGCAACAGCGACTAAATTCGCTGCGCAAGTACTGGTAGGCGCTGGAAAAATGGTGCTCGAAACCGGGAAGCATCCTGGTCAGTTGAAGGACGAAGTCTGCTCGCCCGGAGGTACCACTATCGCTGGCGTTCACGCTATGGAAACCGGCGGGGTCAGGTATTTTTTCAGTTATTTATATAAATATAAATAAAATGCATATATCTCGTTGTTGAATGTTCGCACGTTTAGATATCAGATTTAGATACCAGCTAACTTTCATTTATCGAACTTTGCAGGGGATCTATGATCAATGCGGTTCAGGCTGCCGTAAATAAAACGAGTAAATTGATATAAGTCCATGCTAAGCCAGAGCCTGGCTATAGACAATATTTTAGGACAATATTTTATTCGTAATGAATATTGGGGTAAATATGCGTTTGATATAATTTTTGCATTTATTTTATTTTGATTATTACATTTTTTTACTTTTGAATATATAGTTTTTCTGAATAATGTTGACATAATGTAATCAACGTTACGCAACGACAGAAGGAATGGAATGTCTTTTTTTGCAAGGACTTAGAATTCAAAACACACATTTTTAAAGATCGTGTTCCTATATAAACGCATAAACCTCATTTTCATAAATTTTCATAAATGAGTTTATTACAAAAAACATATAAATGTATAAATATGTATACAAAGAAAAAAGGCAAATAAAATTGCAACCAATTAAATCACTTGTTAATGTGTGAATTTTTTTATGCTACACTAGAAATATACAGAAAAGTTTGACGTGTTTCAGTCTATTACGTATGCAAATATAATATAATAAATATACTCAAATATAATAAATATATTCTAATATATTAATATATACAATAAGTCGCTCCAATAACTTTATTATCTCATAATCCTAGTATATTTGATTGTTTAAAAAATTATAAATTATTAATAATCTTACCTGATATAAGATGTTTAATAATTTATTTGTTAGTTGTCCATAATCAATCTCATAAAAAAAAAAATTTATTAAGATTTAATCGGGTCTTCTCAGCAGTAACAATGCGCGTTTGTATTTCTATTATGTATACGAGTATATATATACATATACTACTTGAAATAATTATTGTATTCCATTTTATACATTGTATCACATAAGCCTTTGTCTGTTTGTACTTAACTTTTTGAATATTCTACACAACGTGAAGGGTCCGTAGGATAATATTCTTGACACTTAGTCATCAGCCTCTTGAGTGCTTGGATGTACTTCCTCTGAGTCTCGTCATTCATAACATGAGCGACATTTTTTGAGAAAATCTTCTCTCTTCCGGTACGTGCGTGAATACCGACCATAGTTACACCGATGGGCCAAGGGGAATTACCTATAGCCATTTGCAAATAAGCATCACTAGCCTGAAACAAGAATTGACCGATATTTAATATAAAATCAATATGCGATATTTTCGACGGCTAGCAGAAAGTAGTACAAGTATTAATATACTGTGTACCATTATAGAGCACATACATACCAGTATATAATTACGTTGCAGCAAATGTTTAACAATCTCTGTCAAACTGTCGGTTATATCTTCCGGAAGGGATTTATTCTTCAACTTTCTCAAAAGCGGCTTTAAGTATTCTCTTGTTTGAGCATAGGTAGCACTGTTCATCTTGCCCTTGGTGCTTATCTTTTCAGCAGCTGTTCGACTGTTTAACTGATTGCCCCATATTTGGACCAGATATTGTACGAACAGAGTGATAACATTCATGTCGAAGTCCTTGTCCCCCTTGTTCAGTTTAGTCGACATCTTCTCTATGTCCTCGTAAGTAACTCCCTCATCAGGCACGTTCACATCTCCCTTTCCATCGAGACTTTGAGACTTGGAGGATGTTAAAATCTCATTAAGATATGCTTGATCCACTTGTTCCATAGCCTCTTGAAAGTCATTTCTGAAGCCCTGTTGAATTACCAAAAAATGATCAGTCAATAATCATTTGTGAAAATTGAATCATCATTAACCCTTTCGCTTCGAGCGCCGCTTATAAGCGGCGCGCACAGTATGTCCTGTGGGTACGAGTGTCGCTTATAAGCGGCGCGCATAATATGTCTTGTGCGTACGAGCGCCGCTTATAAGCGGCGGCCGCGCGATGTGTCGTCTGCAGTAAGAATGACAAAAGATCCGACTCACGATACGAGTGTAAAGAGTGTGATGTTGGTTTATGCGTAGATCCGTGCTTCAGAATTTATCATACTAACTTATACTACTAATCACTTTATATTAATATATTAACTTGTTTGCGGACAATAATTAATTAAAATTTAAATCTTACTAGTAACTTTTAAGTTGTAAATATTTTCATACCAAAAATGTAAATAATAATCATTATATAGTAACAAAGATTGTTTTATTTAGCAAAATTGTTACTTAAGACCTAGGAAAACGTATATAAAGCAACAACGCATATTGTGCGTATTCGCGGCGCGCGCGCCCGTACAGAGACAGTACTTCGGCGGACTGGACATCCGAAGCGAAAGGGTTAAAAGGAATTGCATATACAGAGGAATCTTACTTTATTCACTTCTGGCTCCAGGATCTCGCATTTCCTTAACCTCTTGAACGCTTCCAACTCTGATTCTCCGAACAATAATATAGGCTCAGTTCGTTCGCGTAACCGTCTGATTACTTCTTGTCTAGATAGCATCAGATGTTCGGAGCTATCTGTTACACATTCTTCTGACTGACGACTCACGCTCGACGGTGCGACTTCGTTGTTCCTTTTGTCGGTTTCGCGTACTTCCTCTTCCTTCGATATCAATTGACTTCTCTTGAAGTACTTTTTGTGGTTGTCCTGCAACAAACACCTTGACATAAACATTCATCGCTAGCGTAAACATGATTATCTAACCTCAAACTATAACATAACCAACAAATTTATGATGTACTAAATATATACCAGAATGTGACTGTCCTCCAGCTCCTTACGTTTTCTCATTATCTCTGCTTTCAGTATATCCATTTCGTTAATGACGAGAATAACGGAAAACGTCAAGAAGCAATTTTATATTACACTGTGGTAATTGTTTTGCTCGGTAGTCGAAGGGAATTTAAAACACAAAACAATCACTGGAAAGTTCCGTAAGTACTGATGAGGGGCGGTGATGTCAAATCGTAGAATTTTGCGGTTCTGTTTGGTGCTTGCAACGATCGCGAGCGTGGTCATATCCACAATGTCCAATCACACTGGGAAATCGACCAATGAGATTAGACATTATAAACCTGGCCTATAAAGTCGCGATCGTCACAAGCGCCAAGCGGAACTCATCTTTGAGCGCGCGTAAACCAAATGATTAAAGGTTGCATCCCTCTCAAAAGGAAAATCAAGGAAAAGGAAATTAAGAAAGTATATATGTGCGTAACACATAGAAAAACTTAATTTTGGACATAATAGTTTATATTTATGGTCTTTGTGGGTCTACACCATCCTTCGGAGAAGTTCATTAATTTTATCTTCTCGATTTCCAAAATCACCACCCTCTACGTAATGATTGGTCTTCTTGCGCCATCCACCGTTCGGTGTATTGAGCTAGAAAAATAGGAAAACGATTTTTTTCATACAAATATATAAACTGAATTTTTGTAATTACATATAGATTATTGAGATATAAAAGTATTAAGCATTACAGATCTTCCTGTTTTCACTTAGTATAGATTGAGGTGAAAATGTTTGAGCTTATCTTAGACTTGTAACATGAGGACGATACTCATCGGCAAGAGAAGCTCTTATTGCTTTTCGACATTGTAGGAGGTTAACAGACTTAATATTATTCTACAACCATGCCAATGTCGTAAAACAAGATATTTATGTGCTCGTTATGTAACGTTTTTTCAACCGTACCTTGAAAGGCCACAGGAAATTGCTGGCGTACTTAAATTTAGGGCCAACGGTGAAAATCTCATGGATTAAGTCTTCGGTACAGATAATATTAGAACGACCTAAGCAACAAACATAATCCATTAAATCAAGGCGTTGGTTATTGTGGGTAAAAATTAACTATTTAAGCAGTGTTTTGTGCAAATCACTGTCAAACCTAAATACAAGAAATAGGTAGTTAGGTTTTCCAGAAATTTACTTTGTTAATTTTTGACAAACTGGAAGGGAGAGCGTCTCTACGTAGACAACACTCCTATGGATTTGTCAAAAGAAATGTTTTTCAGGAAATACACTATGTGCATGTAAGTTATATCTTGCTCTTTAATTATTAATTTTGCACAAGTATTAAAAAATGTTTTACTAACCGAGTTTCCTCTCAATGATGGCATTGCTAGTTATCGGGATGCGCTGCCTGTTTACTTTGGCAAACCCACGTTTGTAAATCAATTCGCGAACAGATTTCAAATTTGGATATCCCCATGTGATGTAGGGCTCGACAATCCGTAACATATTAATCGTTGCTTTGTTCAATTTGACAAAAACGCCATTGTTAATCTGTTTCAGTCGAAACAGCTGAAGTACCTTCCGTACCTTTGGTGCAACTTGATTCACACTAAGATAAAGACGCAATTAAATGTAAATTGTATTTAAAACTCGGAGAAAAGAACATAGATTTGTGACCGATGTTGGGAATTTCACATCGGTACTTACCCTCGAATACGGATAACGAAAGCTAGACGTGCCTCACCAGGAATGTAATAATTTCCACGGTTTTTAGCCTGTCTCATCAATCTGATTTCATCCCTTTCTTTTTGTTTATACTCCTTTACATATTTCTCTGCTCTTTTGAAAATCTCTTTCCTCTTCTTATAACGGTTTGCACGTTGCTGTAAAAGAAACAAAGATGTAAGGAATTGATTAGATTGATCTGTAACACATATCTCACATATTACAAGTGAAGTCTCTCAGCTGATCCTGTAACTACTACCTTAATCGAAATTTGCAGACGTGCAGCTTTGACCGCTTCACGGCGTTTCCTCCTTTTCAGCACAGATTCCGGCACCGCCGGCAGCTTCTTGGTGCTCGCAGGCGAGGCGGTCTCTTTTTTTCTGTATAAAAAACGATTAATTCTCATATCGTGTACACATGTTTGGTAAGCGTTTAGTGCACCACGGTAAAGATAGGTTATGTTGACTATAAAAACATGTTCCAACTACATCTTTGAAAACTTTTTGTCTATCATGATAATATTATGAACGATGTGTAGAAACACTGACTCCTTATGACGAGAAAATAAACGCATTACGCGTAATATTAAGTATATTAAGTATGCAATCGTATTATTGACTCATAAGGGACGACGCTGTGCTGGCAATTCCTCATGTAAATAATCTCTGTTGCTTGTTTCGTTAATACAAAAAATATATATTTGCTAATATATAAGCATTTTCAAAGAAACCATTAGCATGTCATATATGCACGTTTGATATCATATTATTGATTGATGCGGTTGGATTTTTCCGGATCGCCAAGACTACTCACGTATCCGTCATCGTCCCGTGCGGTAAAAGAACCTCCTAACCTCTCCCTGTAGAGAACGTACTCCTTCGAGAGCCAACAACTGCGCATGCGCGAGTAAAGAATATTCTTTCTTCTTTTGTTTCCCTACCTCTCTCATCACTCCTCCACAACTCGCCAAGCTTAACTGCGTTCAGAAAATACAACAGTTGCACAATGGTTAAAATAATTCGTCAATATAATTGGTCTAAATTGAAGGATCTAACAGTAAAGACCAATAAGCATTGACCGCTTTATTCCGCTGAACGCAGCCAATGGCTGTGTTCCAAAATTCCACTCGATGGATAGAATAGCAGTAATTAACCAATCATGATATAGAAATCTTTGCTCTTTTTGTTCTGATTGGTCAAAAAAATTCTATCTGGTTGATAGGGTTTTGGAACGCAGCCAAGCCTCATACGAAAGTAAATCGCGCTTCGTTATCAGGCGAATTTACATTCGTGTTGTGATTCACGGATAATATAAAATAACATTTGGTCTGTTCTTTTTAGCTGCACTATTGAAACGATGCAATAAGTTAGAATGAGACAAGTATATTTCGTCTCGCTCTAACTTATTGCACCAGTTCAGCAGTGCAGCTGAAAAGAACGGACCAAATAATCCGTATTGTAACGTAGATTTGATCAGTTCACGTTTCCGCGATCGTTTGATATAAAAATCTGATAGAATGCATAATCGAGAATTAATTTTCTAATTTATTATTATTCAGGAGTCCGCAATTGTGTATCATACCTGCAACATGATACATCTTACAAACAGCCGGATATAGGGTGTAAAGTCCGAGATCACCCTAGACACGGCGAATTAGACAAGTAAAAGTTGGCCAGACTGTTTTACGAGGGAAACTGGGAAGCGATTGTGCAACTTTTTCCGTGAAGAAGAAAACGGAGACGCGAGAAACGAGGTTTCGCGTGAACTCAATCGCGACTCAGGCGATTGCCTGACATTCATTCGAACTGCGGAAATGCGGTGTTTCTTTAACGCTACCATTCGCAGGAAAGAGTTACACGGCCGTCGGATCGTCGCGCACGCGCGCGCACGTTGAGACGGATTCCACCTCGACTTTACTCGGTCGGTGACGTCACGCGCCGTTCTGAGACAGTCAGGGAGACAGCTCACTTCGCATCCCCACCGCACTGCTATCCAGCTGTCGAACGAGTCGTTTGGCAGTCGGCGAGGCCAATTTTCTCGAGAACGATCGCAGACTACGTGAAGGTCTCGGCGTTGGCGGGGGTTCTTCGTCGCGACTAAAGAAAGCAAGTTCCGCGTCGGACAGGCATACGCACACTCGATCGAAGTAAACGGGGTCGGTACACGGGCGAGTGAACGTTGCCGTCGTAGTCGCTGTTGTCAAGGTGGGAGCCTAAATCGCGCATTTCCGTAACGGTACCGAAAACAGGGCGGCCTTCGCGGGCGCGACTTGACAAGAATCGAAAGAAGAGACAAACAACGAGCTCCGCTCTCTATATCTCTTCCTCTCTGTCTGTCTCTATCTCTCTCGCTCTCTTTCGCAGTTCACCTTCCTCTCTCTTTCTCTCTCCCCCTTCTGCTATTCTTGCTCTCTCGGTCTCGCGTCGCAAATCCGTAGCCTCGCTAAGAAATAACCTCTTGCTTCGTCGCGTGTGCAGTGCGTGCGCGCGTGGTGAGAGAGAACGCGCGCGTTTTGCGTGCTTATCACACGTTTGTTCGTCCGTCGTGCGTGCATACGGACGCGAGTAAGCGCCCTCCTCTCCCCCCTTTTACCTACCTTCCTCCCGTGTGTGATCATACACGCGCGTGTGGGTGCCGTGATTTCTTTCGTCGGGCTTGTCCCCTTGGCCAGAGACAACGCACAAGGTGCGGAGGAGGAAGGTGGTCGTCATCGTCGTCGTCGGCGCAGCGTGTACACGCATCCACACATACATACACACGCAGTCACAGGGAGAAGGAGAGTGAGAGAGGGGCCCCTCTCGCGTGATCCATCATCGTCATCGCTCGGAGAACTCGGTGACGAGCGACGAGCCCATTTCTGAGGGATGTCCACCCCCGCGAGGAGGAGACTCATGAGGGACTTCAAGAGGTACTTGACGTCGTATTAACGCATCGTGTCTCCGTCTTTCCGTCCGTCCGTCCGACCGTCCGTTCGTTCGTTCGATCGCGCTCGACACAACGCCATTGCAAGCGCAGCGGCTCCTGGTGCGCCCGACTCGACACCCACGGCAAACCCTAGGGAGGCTTCTCTCAGCGCGAACGTCAATCGCTCATCGCCGCGATTATTATTAGACGTTCTCGCGGCGCGCCTCCTCGCCCTCCGTCAAGTGCAAGCGGGCTGCCCACTTGCCGACTCGATAAACAAACCGTCTCCGCCGTGCGATACTGCCCAGCGGGCAGCCGTCCGCGACACGCGGTCGCCCACCACTCGTTTCTGGAACGATTCGCGTGAATCACGGTCCGCGCTGAAATCGGTGATCGTTTCACGCGCGTTTCAACAGTTAGATTAGATAGGGGTGTGTTTCGAAACATAGACGAGCTTTCCCTATCTCTTTCTCTCTCTCTCGTCAAGTGTGACACCTGACGAAAACTTGTCACGAGTCCCGTGTCGTAACCAAGCGTTCACGAGGAGTCCGAGCTGAAAGTTATGTAAATTGCTACCTTGCGGTCTATTTTCGGAGGGATTCGATGGAATTGAACTTTCGACAGCTGTTCAAATCGAAATTTCCCGACGAGTGGGAACTCGAGATATTGCCTGTTTCTTGAAGAAATATTATTGCAATAATAAAATATCGCTACAGACACGGATGACATGTATCATTCTTAAAATTGGTACTCGTACATTAGCGAATACTAGATAATGTTTCGAGACACATGTGTCTGCATGTATACATTCGCCATTTGTAACGCAAAGTTCTAAAAGTTTGTTATTTTTGCAAAGATTACAGGAAGATCCTCCTACCGGAGTGTCAGGTGCCCCGACAGACAATAATATTATGATATGGAACGCAGTTATATTTGGGTAAGAGGATATCATTCTCGTTTCGTTACTATGAATCTTGTTTCGTTACTACGAATCTTGTTTCCAATATGCGGGTCCTGCGTGAAAGATTATGAACGCTCATGTTTTCCTGTTCTAGACCACACGACACCCCATTCGAAGATGGGACATTCAAGCTCACAATAGAATTTACAGAGGAGTACCCAAACAAACCACCCACAGTGAGATTTGTTAGTAAAATGTTCCATCCCAATGTATACGCGGATGGTGGAATCTGTCTTGACATACTTCAAAATCGCTGGAGCCCTACTTACGACGTCTCAGCCATCTTAACATCTATACAGGTATGTGTCATTTCATTAAATTCACTTTCTTTTATATACCATAGAAACGAGGGCCTTTAAGTAGGTATCTGGAGTCTCGATTTGTCAGATTATGGTGTTTTGATATTTTCTTATTATAATTATGCTGAAAATGTGAAGGAGACGACAGACCTTCTTTCTCTCTTTCTCTCTCTATAGCATGACATTATATCTTCTCTCTTTCATTTCACTATTGTTATATGGATATATTGCATGTTAAAATTTAAAGAGAAAAAGATCTGGAATGTACTTCATTACGATATTAAATGTAGTTTTGGAGAAATCGAAAAATTACATTACAACGTAAATATAGCTTGGTGTCGTTAATACAGCTGATATAGCTTATACTTGTTACATTCTAATATACATTTTTTTTTTTTAATTACGTTGACATAGGTAAAAACCATCTCTTGCATGGCAATTAATAAATGTTTATAACACACGAATAGCGAAATAAAAAAAATAGAAAGTGTTTAATTTTTTACGTCTCACGTTGAATTATTTTCTTTGTATTTACATTTCATATACAAACTATATCTCACTGTGCAGTCTTATTTTCTCGTGAAAATATCACTCATCCGCCTGTCATTGCTTTCGAAAAACTTTTGTTGCTCATTGTCAGTCACACACATACACATACATACACACGATAAAACGCCTGGAGGGATCGTTCGTTTTGTCTTAACAGCGGTTGCAAGTCAGCAAAGTCTAATCACATGATACCGATTCAAAATTATTTGTGCATAACACTTGCGTAATTCTACACCTACATATGTGACTACCTTAATTGCCCGCCGATATATACTTTCGTTTTTTCCGTATCCGCATTAGAAGAACTAGAGAAAGAAACGGAAAAGCTAAGAAAATAAGCATTCGCAGTCTCTCGTGCCATTCATTTATAATTACGGCCATGCACTTTGTCAGAAAAAAAGGCTAACGAAATTATACTCCGTATAATGGGTACGACTTATGTGGTTGCAGTCGCTGTTAAGTGACCCGAACCCGAATTCACCTGCCAACTCAATGGCAGCGCAACTGTACAAAGAGAACCGACGCGAGTACGAGAAGCGAGTGAAGGCTTGTGTGGAGCAGAGTTTTGTGGATTAGTCGCGAGCTATAACGCGATGCTGTCGCAGCATCAGTCAGCCACCAACAGCCATCAAATACGGAGGAGAACGTGCAGCCTTACCAAGGAGCTAACGTTTAAATGAAAAAAAAAAGAAAGACAAAAAACGAACCTTAGCATGTTTCTTCCTGAAAAGCTCTATCGAACTACCACGATGTGCAACGTTAGACCGAATTTTTACAATGTTGAATAATAAATTATTATGAAATTGCGTATATTTATTTATTTCGATGTCTGATAAACACGAAATTAGTACTGTAATTAAATGTTAGAATATAAAGGAAAAATACTTGGCTTTTTCTTTATTTTCTTTTCTCTTTCGTTTCTCTTTTTCTGTGCGAAGGAACACGATCCTTTCGGCGGCGCAGAATTGTACTTCGATTAAATTCTAGTACTTCAGTACACAAATTCACTTTATATATATATATATATATATATATATAT